CTATTGAATATGTCAAATATTTGTGCTCTAATGAAAATTTATTTTCCTTTTCAAATTATAATTGATTATATGGTGAATAACTATTTATACATTCTTATACATTTATCTAAAAAGTATTATTTAAATATTTCGCTTTTATAATTTATAGATTACTTAATACCTTGCGACTGTAAATCTTTTTAACTAGTATTACCAAAGCATCTTCCGTGATTTTGTGCGCTACACGGCTTTGTTTAAAATATACGTGTATATATATATACAATAGTCCATTACAATTTCATATTTATATATATAATTTATATATATATTTTTTTGTATTTATTTATACATATATATATATACGTGGAAGTCAAAAATTAATAAAGTTAAAAAATATAATCTTCAAAATAGAAACTATAACCGTCTTTCTCTTCAGCTACAGCGCTATTGTGTCACTTATGAAATTCTTATTTCTTTCGAAAACGCATCGAACATTATTATTTTTTTTTTGTCTATATGCTCTACCAGTGCATACTGCTGTTTATCGACACGGAATCCTCGGGACATCCGTCTCTCGAAAATCGCGCGGTCGATTCTGGAACGACTTTTCCTTTCTTTTTCCACTTTCATTTGTTTCGCGCAATTTTCACGAAACGGCGAAGATCTCAGAAAATTATTGATTTGAGTGTATTTCTCATAAATTCTCAAACTTTCCTAAAAACCGACCTATCACATTCAAATAAATACAACATGACGAAAAAGTGGTACAAGGAAAAGTGTTCTTGTCTCTATTCTTTCGTGAGCTTATCGTATTTTTTTCTCTCTTTAATTATTCATTAGGTACCTTATAAATAATTTCGCAAACTATGAGCCTCCCAATGTGCTTCCAACAAATTTTGCAGTCGCATTTGAGTAAATATTATAAGAGTACAATGTATACGAAAAGTGATTATATATATAATTAGTATACGATTCAAATTTTTTATCTTTAGTTATCTTTTAAATATTGCATACAAATGATCATCTCGGATTTTTCTTGTTTCTTTATCCACTTGCAATATAATTATAATTTGTTTATGATTTTTACTGCAAGGTTGTTTAACATATCAAATATATAATTCTTCGACATTTGATGCTAATAAAAGCTTTACAAACAATTAAATTTATTCACAATTATTTACAAAAAGTTAAGTTAATGTTTTATTATAATACAAATTATAATATTTTTAAATCATGAAATAAAAAAATCAGAACAAATTTTTTATTTTGAGATATTTTAGAGCAAAAAGAATTATGCATTATATGCATATATATAATCTGATCATAAATAATAATAATATTATATTAATTCTATTAATTAATTTCATTCCACTAAAATGATGATTTATATTTAAAGAAATGTAGCAAAAAAATAAATTACAAAATTAAAAACTGGTAAGTACAACTGTATAATAGATTCCAATACATTAAACTATAAATTAATATAATTTTTAAATATACATAAATAATTATCATTTACAAACATTAATATAATATTTGTTATGAGTAAGTAATATTTACACGAATAAATAAAATCTAGCAAATATCGAGAGATTATTATAAATATTAGGTAGGATTGCGAGCAAGAGATCGATAAAAGATTGAAATTGCTCTAAATCGTTCATTACAAGTAATAAATAAAAATTTTATCAAGAGTTTTATATCACGTTACACTAAATGCAAGAATACGTATTGTAGCAAAATTTTCTTTCGCTAATTTAGTGTAACTCATCATAAATATATGCAACCTAAGTGATCGTAACATTTGCGATAATGTACTTTATTGTACTTCCATTTCTGATGAGCGTCCCTAAGTGGATTCGTGACAACAATATTATGAATAATATATATTTCTCTTTAACTGTGCGAGCTGCATATATATGTGAAATTAAGTGGATATCTGCATTGCCAAGACCATTTAATTAAGGTTTTATAGTTATAATTCTTCCATTAAGTAAAACTTGTAACAATATAATTATAATAAAGATTGTTTACAAATCGCTTTCTAGCATCCATTATCCGTTAAATTATATTTTTTAATTCATCAATGACAAATTTAATTCATCAATAACAATACAAATTTTTCAGTTTGCTGTTCATGACATTTATATAAATAATTTTTAAATATAATGTAATAATTTTAGGATCTAATCGTTTTTTTAAATTTGTAGAATGTAGATATGTAAAAATTTGTAGATATTTATCTAAATATACAATAATAAAATATAAAATGCTTTTTTATATGTCACTTGCAAATAAATTGTATATTGTATATACAATTGTATATACTACAAATCGAATCTTCCTCGGGATAATAAAACTGCAAAATAAATGTTGCAGAGTATGGAATTTAAGATCTGGAAAGGGTGGGGCTCGTATTGTACATAGTAAAAATTATCTAGTGTTGAAACGGATCTTACAAACAGCAGTAAACAACTTGCAAAGTTAGGTCAACTCGTTATCGCTATTATGTAATAAATATACACTAGATTTTTTCGCTTGCACAAGCCTTTTTCTTTATCAAGTAACGTCATGATTTTATATTGTGCGTTTTGCCTCAAATAAAATAAAATAACAATATTTTTGGAAAGTATACTTATACAATAAGTATACGTATACAATTGTAAAGTATACTTGGTTGAAGCTTAGTAATAATTGATTTTTGTTTTGCGTATCATAAAACGCTTGAAAATAACGGATTACATTTAATAATTTTACGCAGTATAACATAGCAATAAATTAATATATATTTATTTGTTTTTAGATAAAAAATAATTTAATAAGAATTTAAAATTTTTTTATGTCTTAAAATTGTATAAAAAAAAAGCGATCATTAAATATTAATCACGTAAAGAAAAGAAAATTCTTGAAATTTTACTTTATAAACACCAACATGTCCATTCAGATTATTACTGTATTTCTAAGTACATAAAATATTCTGATAATTATGTATCTCTCTTTTTCTGTCTCTCTCTCTCTTTCTCTCTCTCTCTCTCTCTTCTCTCATAAAGAATCTAATGATCATAATGCATATCTACGTCAATTTCAGTTTTGACACAATATATCTGTTTAATTAAAGGTATTATCTATGCGAATATCAGTTTCATATCAATTTCATGAATTAATTCTGTATCCCAATTCTGTATAAATTTATGTAAATAATAGTATATTATTTTAGCGAAACAATACATTGATGAAGCTTTACCGCGCATAGTTCGGATTTATTCGATATTTCTATCACACAAATATTTCTGACATACTTCCAATGCAATATCGTCAATCCGTTCGTCATATTTTGCAAAATATGATATTACGTTTCCCCGTGTGACAGATATCGCCGAGTAAACGGCTCGTGGATATCGATCGTACGATATACTTGATAGCACGTTCGTTCAAACATCACTTTTAATTAAACGGGATTCCAAAGCTGGCCCTTTATTGTAGCTGGCAGTACGGCTACTTTTGTACGCAGATAGAATACGACTGGCGTCAGAAAGTTAAAAAGCACTTTTTCCTTTTCGAGATCCGCTGGAAAAATCGATGACACACATATACATAATACCTTACAATCATATATATATACGTATATCGTGTATATTATAGAAAGTTTAGCAAATATAGATGGCCGAATTAAGGAGACCTTTTTATCGGACCCTAAAATTGTTTATTGGTAATGTCTTAACTCTAAGACCCTTCAAGGCTTTGCGGTACGTTTACTTTTTAACATTTACTTTTTCACGCTATTGCGCGTACTTTTAATTGAAAGTTGTTTCTCCTAAATTCTCAGATTAATTATAACCTCACCTTCCGGCAGTATACGAATTCATTATCATTTAAAATTATTTTTAATTTCTGCGCTTTTTTTGTACAAAGGAATGTACCTCCGAGACTTCATTTGCTAATTAGAATTTTTAAGATAACGTTTATTATTTTTGAGGTATTTTTTTTTTAGCATTCATCGAATTCTTAATTTTTGTAGGAACTTTTTTTATTTTAAAGGAATTTATAAAGAGAGTAAAAGAGTTCTGTGTAGTTTACTGTTTTCTGAAATAGTTTATAAATATTGGTCTCCTTAACTTGCCAGTGAGATACGTATTCTTTCTCTCTGTATACACATAGCTTGTCATCATGCACAATTGTGCGCCCGTCATGGCGGATTTGTAAAACCTGCCGTGTCTTATCGCGAACTTATGCAATAAACAACAAAACTTATTTTTACTCAACACTTTACGATCAGCTTGATTATCCGAAGATTAACATCGTTAATAATAGTATCGTTATATAATCAAGTCGCTAGTCGAACTATACCACAGTTGCAATAAACGTATAACTGGTCCATCGCTAATTCACTGTCGAGCGTGTAAATTGGACACTCTAATAAAAGCGTAACGTTAAGAATGATTGTACAACGTGATCGTTTCTGCTTTTGCGAAGAAACCCTCGTTCAAAAATCTGCCGTGGCGTAAAGATAAACTTACGGGTGTGACAGTAACGCAGTGAGCAATGGATCTCGCAGGAAACGAATCTCGTACAGATCTTCACCTCAGGCCGGGCAATCACGTTGTTCATGCGTTCGTACCACGTTTCTCTAGTTAGCTGGCTACATCGTAAAAAAATCTTTCTCACACTTCGGCCGCGTTTATTGATCTTCTATCCTTCGGCGTGGAAGACCCTAAATCTAACCGACGTGTCTTTGTAAAAATAGGCAAGTCTTACGCGCGCTATGTACGGGTGTGTCATGCTCATGTCGACGTCGGGATTACTCCTTTTCCTTGGTCTCTTGGCTCTCGGCGCCCAACAGGGTTGACTCCTCGATCTCCGAATCCTCGACCTCCGGTTCCTCGACCTCCGGCTCCTCGATGTTCTGTCCTGGACGTTTGAACTGTTTACGCGCAATACGCTGCACGTAAATTATCAGGGCGATTAGACCACATGCCGTTGCACACATTACCCCAAAGATCGCATAAAATGTTATCATTGGTGGATGGTCCAGAGACTGGAAATTCAATGAAACTATGTTATTTATAAATAAATGTATTAATTATTTTATATAAATTTATGTTTAAATATTTCTATTATTGATAAACTCAAAAATATTATATCAGACACTTCTCTTCCTTATACTTTCGCATTTTCTTATTAATTTTAATTATTTTCATTTTTCTATTAATCGTTACATTAAATGGTTCTGTTGCGTCATTTTGAAGTGAATTGAACTGTCATACATTGAATATTTCTTTTCTTTATCAACTTTTTTTCATGCTAAAAAAAGGTCAGTTAACATATAATTAATATTAAAAATAAAACATTAATTTAATAAGTAATATTAATATTAATATTAATTTAATCAATGTACATCTCAATATGTAAAATATGTTTACATCCAAAAATAATTAAAATATGAACTAGAATTAAATTTATAAAATGTTGAAAAAAATTACATATGTTTACAAAATATAAATTAAGCAGTATGAAGAAATGTTTTATTTGAATTAAATTGCAATTTCTAAACGTTCTAGTTGTTTTAGTGCTCACGAACATTGTTAAATAGATAAGCCGTCTCTGAATCGATTGTTCACCGACTGCTTTAATTCGCCATTAGGTCAAACGTTGGCCTATGGCTTTGCGTGCACAATAATATGTTTTCGCTGGCTCTCGTTGGCTACTGGCGCAATAACCTGCTTGAAATTCTGATTTGTGCATCCTGTAATGCACGGAATTCACGTAGAACTGTCTGTAGAATAAATTCAAAGTTTATGAAGAAAATATATAAAATAATAATCTCCGTATTTTTACAACATATATTTGCAATGCGTTCTACTTTATAACGTTCTACTTTACCTCCATCAAATAAAATAAATTTTATTTTTTGGGGGTAAAAATTTTCTATCTCCCAAAGGTATTACAAACTTCATGAGTATTCATTGCTTTTTTGCGTCCGTCATTCGCCGAATTTGATTTAATATTTCGATCGAGATACGTAGTAATCATCCATTATGCATTATGTAACTAACATGTGACTGCGATCGATTTAATAAATTCAAAGTTTATGAAGAAAATATATAAAATAATAATCTCCATATTTTTACAACATATATTTGCAATGCGTTCTACTTTATGACGTTTTACTTTACCTCCATCAAATAAAACAAATTTTATTTTTTTGAGGGTAAAAATTTTCTATCTCCCAAAAGGTATTGCAAACTTCATGAGTATTCATTGCTTTTTTGCTGCGTTCTTCAAATCAAGAAGCTCATAAATGATTTTGCGATCTTCATCAACGCTGCTCGCGTAACATCACGATATGATCTAGACTATTTCTCATTCACTGAGAACTGAATATTCATCGGAAAATGTTGTTGCTACTCTCTGTTACCCCAGTTACCGCTTAATATGCAAAATACAAACTGGCAGACGCCGCTGTGTCTGATATAACTACCATGGCGAGTCAGGTACAAGTAAATATATGAATTAGCAGGTACTCGAGATCCTATTAATTCTCTGTGCATCCTGACGCTGGTATTTTCAATTCCACGCTAAATTAAGCACTCCGTTCATAAAAGGTGTTCTGCGCAGAACGCGCTGTAAAGTAAAACGCGTTACAACGCTACGTAAAATTTATGAAAATTGGATGAAGCAAGATGATTGTTCGATAAGCTCGCTTAAATATATAATAACATAAAAAAGAAAAATAAAAATACGGTATATATAAAAGTTATTGGATACACGAAAATACTTGGAAATATTTCGGCAAAAATATTGAACGAATTGTTTCAGATATTTAAGTAAATTTTTAACAGAAAAAAATTTTTCAAACGGATAAATTTGTGTCAATTGTAAAAGGTGCTTTCTTAGATAAATTTTATCTCTTTTTCTTTTGCAGTATTATTATAAATTTTGAATAAAATTGCGAGATCAACTCTTTTTCACAAATATGTAATGTGCTTTGCACGATTGGCTTTTTTTAACGACGTGTAGTCTGCGTAAAATCTTGAGATGCAACGCAAGCATTCTGAGGCAACGAATAAGCATTATCTGCTCAAGAGAGAACGCGGCTTTTATATTGATTGGCCGACGAGGTCGATGTTTTAAGAAAACCTTTTTCTCCTCCGTAACTTCTTTTGCAAAAAATCTTGTCGCGGGAGATAAAGAAAATGAGAGAAATAATAGGGGAATATATATCTGCATATATATATGAAAAAATATAATAGGGTACAAAATGTCATAGGGTACGTCATGAAATGTATCGCGGAAATCGTTATGTATAACGTCACATCCTGCAATTCTCTAAGAAGGAGGTAAAAGTACGACTGCTGTCCCAGTGGGAAACGTGCGGGAAAAATAAAGGCTCCGAGCGATTCCTCGTCCGCTTTTAGATTCACGAACATGCTCTGCCTATCGATCGGACAGAGTGCTTCAGTTTTAGATGTCTTTGGTGCAACGCGATCAATATTTATGCAGGACGCAAAATTTGGTTGATCTGGCCAGGCTAGATCGTTAAGTTTAAAAAATGAGAAAAACGTGCATGCGAAGTGATATATCTTGCGGATGAAATTGAGAATTTATCTTATAAATTATCTTAACAAAATTTACAAGGTATAATAACGGTGATAACAAAATGAATTTCTGAAGCGACTAATAAATTTAAAACCATTTTTAAAATGAAAAATGAAGAAACTGCTACTAATGGAGATTGAAAAAACTTGAGATGCTTGCTTAAAGAATAACTGATAATTTTTCTCTCCCTCTTTCTTTTCTCTCTCTCTCTCTCTCTCTTTCTCCTTCTTTTCTTCTTCCTTTCAGTACTTCTATTCTAAATAGAAGATAAATGACACTGAAAACTTTATAAATAAAATAAAAACGTAAAAGTTAATAAAAAAAAGTAAAACTATAGAAACAACAATACGCGATAAGAAGAGCTTGTTTAAGAGAATTTAAAAGGCAGTTCCTATTTTAAAAGGCAGTTCCAGAATAAGGAAAAAGCAAGACGCGCGAGAAAGCGACGAGTTAGCGACAATTTTTGCATGAATGATTCGCATGATCGATGCATTCTATCAAAATGCAAGACACTTCAGATCCCCTTGAACGCAATTCCCCGAAAACATATGAGCGCTCGATTGAGAAATACGAGCACTTACGAACACTCCCCACTTGATGGTGGGGTTGGAGGGGTCGCTGAAGATCCACTTCTGAGGCCAGGGTTTTATCGTGCCTTTCGGCGTTTTGAATATCAGACCCTCGAGACTCAGACGTGGCGCAAGGACGCTGGTGGTGATGTTGCCCTTCTTGTAGGAGGCTATGCCCGCCTTGACGTACATCTGCGGTATGGTCTCGTTCTCCCGCAACTTCAAGGTCACCCTCGGCATCTTCGGCTTCCTGGGCGTGCTCAGTGTACTCTTCGTCTCCTCCGTCGTACCGCTCGAAGACGCCTTCGATGTCGTCGACAGTGCTGAGAAAGTTGTCGACGATAGAGCGGAAGTCATTGTCGTTTGATGATCTCTCGTTGACGTTTCCATGCTCGGAATCACTTGCGTACTAATTTCCGGCATGTCTGAAAAGAGAGAACCTGAAAAGAGTAAACCTACACAGTTGTCAATAATGTCAGCTTAGTCGGAAAACTAATAACATCCTGATTAATTATATTACGAGCCCGAATATTTATGTAAAGCCGGAATCTCACTTTAGTCTGCAGTTATTTGCATGTTATGCGCGGTATTCTGAGATACTCCACAAGAGAAGATTAAATTTTATGATAATTCTATTTTAAGTAAACAAAAAAACAGAGAGAATTTTAGCAGAAAAAATATTATTTTATAATATTAATCTGGAATGACGATAAAATATATATTTTAAAAGTAGATCAAATTCTTTAATAAACAATGTATATAGATAAACAACATATAGATATACGACTATCAAACATATATAGCAATACAGGTTTATCGGCCGAAATAGAGAATTGGAAGTTTCCTCTGGCTTTTGTAATATATTACAGTAATTATTTGCATCACCTTCCTCGAGAGTTTAAGCAAAACAATACCTGCTAATGTGGCGTCATCAACCACGGCCTCCTCCTCCTCTTCGTCCTGGAGGATTACGCTAAAGGAGGTCATGCCGTCCTCTTTTCTTCTGGTAACCTCAGTCGTCGATACCACTGTGGTTGGGATCTTGTCTTTGTTTGTACTGTCACCAGTGTCTTCAATTTGATGCCTTGACGTGTTCCTTACCGGTTCGACTCGGCTAATCGCTCGCATCGTGCTGGCGAAAAGATTGTGATCGTTCTGATTCATCAGGAACGGCGTGGCCACGCAGGATAGTATGATCAGCACCATTATAGTAGCCATTGTGTACTTGATGATCCTCGGCCGGGGTTTGCCGGAAGCCTGCGGGAATCCGCCGGACGAGAACTGATCCGTCTGAGGCAGTATCGTGTACTGCAGACTGGCATCACCTTTCCGCACCGTTTTGTACATAATTATTCAACCTGTCGGGATAGAGATCTCGTTAGAGATACGTGGCTGCGATCTCTCAACCATCCGGAAATATATGATTCTGTCAGCCGAACGGCGTTCCGTATTTATTTTCGCGAGCGCGGCTATTCAACGCGGGATTCTGCGCCGTAATCAGAATGTTCAATTTTATTGAGGAACAATAGGGAGAGAAATGAATTGACAATTGACTTTGTATCCTGGAAACAAAACGGAAATTAAACGAAATGTAAACTTTATACGGAATCTTTTGTTACAAAATTAAAATATATTTGTACATCGCAGTTTTTTCTTTTTCAGGAAATTTATTATTTATTCAACAAGCTCTTAGATAACAGTTATCAAATAAATCATAGATATTTATATGAAATCAATATTGCATGAAACAATTTGTAATGATCCTGTTCATATGTGTTGCTTACGGGTATATATAAATTATTTGCGTGCTATCATGGACCACAATTTATCAATTTGCTTTTATAAAATATAAAGCTCAATAACATGCAATAACATTCGGTGGACATGTAATAAAGTTACCATGTCTATATTTATTGTTTTCGATGGCGTTTGATTTGTTTGCACAAATATTATTTGATTATCTCGCGTTCAGATTTAAGAAGCTCTATTTTGGGAGCGATATAATTTTGGCATTTATCCCACAAAAAAATTAACCATGAAATATATCACGATAGAAATATGAATAAAAGTGATTACGCGTGACACGAAGTAATTCGTCTCTCGTCAAATCATCGCAGAGTAGTTTAGCGTCATGTTTCCGTTTTATACGTAATTATTCAAACTGTCGAAATTACTCAAACGAAATTATTCAAACAAAAAGAATCTTGTTGTAAAGCGAAGGAAAGACGATGAGGTGGTTGACGTGTTCGCGTGAGCTAGCGAAGTCACTAGTGATTAAATGAGCTTCTTTACAAGAAAACTGTTGCAAAATAATAATGCTTAACCAATATCAAGTTTACAACTACAAACAGTAAAGAGTTAATGAATATATTAAAAAGTTTAATTAACGTTGGCTTTACATCAAAGCGATATCTTTCTATGTGATTATTTTCTCGCATAGCAAACTATTGCATTAAATATGTATTTTATAAGAAGAAAATATCATGAGGAAAAAGGAATAATGAATTACGTACTGCTTTTTTTTTGTTAAATTTACAAGATTCGGCATAAATCTCTCTTGAATTATTTTTAAGAACCTAATTGATTTTTGGTATACGAAAAGTTAAATAGCATAAATTAAATAAATTTAATTATATTAAAAATAGCTTAGAAACAGTTTTAAAATTTTATTATAAAATCAATATTTCTCCATTTCTATAATAGGGCACTTATAATTAAGGGTTTTATTCATAGATCTTTGCGGTTCGCTTATGAAATATTGTTTAATTAAAGTATAAAGCATAGTAGAAATGGTAAGCATTTAAATTAGCTTCCACAAAGAGCATTTGATGTTTAAAAGCATGTTCAAAGCATGTCGATAAGTTTGATGACGCGAGAAGGCAAAGTTAGAATATTCGCGATTAATTCCTCCATTAATAGTTTTTAACAAATATTTAAAATAAATTCATAAATAAACAAATATTCCTCTATTCGATTAGATATTTCTTAAAGAGGGATTCTTTTATAAAAGATTTTGTAAACATTAAAGAAATAATACATTCATACAAATAATAATATTATGTATAGTATAAATAAAAGTTACAAATAATAATATCAATATAAAATTTATTAAAAGATAAATTTAAATATAAAATAAAATATTATTGTTAATTAAAGATCTTTAACACTACACATTTCGCACATTTAATTTATACTTTTTAATACAATCACCGGAACAAGCACATATATTTGTAGTCACGATTTCAACGCTATTGACGCTACGATGAAGTATATATCTGATGAATCAACACGACACGCCGGAAATTAGAGCGAAAATGGATGAATTATATCTCGCTTAACCGGTGTCGACGCTGACGGTGGCTTATTTAAAATATTACCAAAGGGTTATCGAACGCTAGCGTATCGAGGAAGACCGGCGATCGACACTCAACATTTCGGACCGATTAGTAATTTCTAACATCGGTGCACGTTAAACATTTAACCGTGGAGTATCTTGATAAAGATTTAGCTTTAGCCTCGGTAAATAGATAAATTATTCTCGGCACTGCTGTCCATCGAATGAAGCCGATCACCCTGAAGGAAACGAAGAAACGGGAAATGAGGGAAACCACATCGGAATCGCGGGCGCGGATATGTATCGGCGTACTCACGATATGTGAACGATAGTCGAGTCTTGATTTTCCTGCCGGCCTGGTGTGTTTGGCGCATACACGACAATCCGGGACAGGCAGAACCTCGCCTGTGAGGGAAACTCAGCTGGAAAATGCGCAGATGCGTCCCGACGACGACGACGGGATGCGCGCGTCGGCGCGTACGCTGCTCCCGAGTGCCGGAAGTTGGTTCGAATATCGCCGAGAGACGGATGTCCGCGCGCGGGTTCATGAGGCCAAGGGTTCAAGGACGAATCAGAAGGTGTCGGCCGTGAACTTCTGAGCGCTTATGCCATCGAATTTTAGGCGTATTTTTGCCCGGTCACCCACGCGCGGTTGTTATTGAGTGAGGGCTGATCGATAGGGGAAAAAAGCTGTTCGCGCATTTGCTGTTATTCGAATTGTGAAATTAAAAATGCATTGCTCGCTAAAAAGATGTCAAATGGAAACTTAAAATTCATTATCATTGACTATAGATTTCTATTTATTAGTTTTTAGAATTATTTTAACGGCAATATCAATGTATCGTAAAAAATTAATATTATTTGGATATTTTTCTTAAATAATAATTAAAATATATAATGGAATCTATGTAGATGTAATGTGGATTTTTTTATTTAGTTTTATGTTATATTTATAATTTCTTTTAATTAATACAATCAAATTATTATTTAAGGCATAAATAAATAGTCGATACTATTGACGGACTATACTTTATTGCGTTGTAAAAAAATATACGTAGTCTGTCTACGCTATAGACATATTTTCGGCATTTATAGGAACAGATTTGTACGCAACGATGGAAGACATTGGTTATAATTATGTGATAAATCGCATAATTAAGTTTTATACATTCTTACTTATGAAATTTAGGAAGATTTGGTATAAGAAGATTTGGTATATTGTAAAATTACACGCAGTCTCATTGCATAGTAGGCATTGCCGTTGATGATGCTATATTAGTAGCATCACCAGATCTCCATAGCTGTGTTATAGTCTTCGTTTGCGTATGAAAGTTTATTCCCTAAAATAAATTAATAATAGCATACATTACATTGATATATTATATATTCATTTCTCTCAGTTGTTGAAAAGAGTTATTTATCTATATTATATGTTATTATATTAAAAATAGGGTATATACAAAAATAATGTAAAAATTATTAATCAAACGGAATATTTTAAATTATAAAATATATCTTTATCTATATATATTCCTCTCGTTATTTTTAATACTTTCAATAAGTTTGAATTAGAGTAAACTAATTGTAATTAAAAATTATCGTAAAATTTTACAATGTGACACATTTTGATAAATAGACTCAATGATTTATCAAAATAAAAAAGCGTAAAGAGCGTATGAACTCACGTGTTTCCCATAAAAGTTGGTATCACCAAGGAAGGAACCCTTGTTACCGGTGAAACTGAACATCGGTAGGGGAACGGGTATGGGAACATTGATACCAACTTGGCCAGCTTCGATTCTGTTCACAAATGCCCTGGCTGTCGCTCCATTTGTCGTAAAAACTGCCGTGCCATTGCCATACGGGTTTTTATTGATGATGTCGATGGCCTCGTCGATGGTGTCGACGAACATGCACGATAAAACGGGCCCGAATATTTCTTCCGTGTAACATTTCATCGTAGGCTGTAACGTATATTGAACAGTTTGTGATATAAAATGACGTGGAATAACGAGACATGTTAAGTTAAAATACAATCTTAATTGAGATACAACGCGGTTCTAAATCTCTTGGGCACAAAAATTATTATCAACAAATAAAACTTTTATATGATATCTATAAAGATAAATTTAATTTTCGGCTTTTATCTTGGAGGACATGTGCTCTCAATAAGATCCTAATTTCTCGACCGAGACTTACAGCTTAAGCTTTATTAATTTCTGAATTAGCATAGTTATTTTACCTTGACGTCGGCTAACACCGTGGGTCCGACGAAATTCCCGTTTTCATAATCGGGTACAACGATACCCCTTCCATCAAGAGCCAATCTCGCACCTTCTTTAACACCAGATTCCACCAGCTCACAGATCTTCTGTTTTGCTTGCGGCGATATAACAGGTCCGAGATCCGTACCGGGTATGTGACCAGCGTTTACCTTCAATCTCTTCGCTGCCTCTACTAATTCGGGTATCCATTCCTTGGATTTGCCTACAAAGATCGCTACCGAAAGTGCCATGCACCGCTGCCCGGCGGCACCGAAAGCAGCCCCGGTGATTTGAGATAACGTTTTATTCTTATTCGCGTCCGGCAGAACGATGCAGTGATTTTTGGCGCCCATGTTACATTGTACCCTTTTACCGTGCGCGCTGCTCTGCTTGTAAATATATTTACCCTGAAATTAAAGAATTCATCTTATTATTACTATTATATTATCACATTGCCTTGTTAACGCTTATTCTATTTAAAAATATTTTTATTAAAAATTTTAGAGATATTTTAACAAAAATAGATAGATTCAATAAAAATGACAATTTAGAGAAGCAAACGAAAGCAAAAAAAATTTAATCTGCAATAGTACAGGGCACAATTTTGATTTCCAATCTCGATCTCGATCGCTTACCGCTTGATCAGAACCCACGAATGAGACAGCTTTGATATCTGGATGCTCGCAGATAAAATCCACCGCTGCATGTTGACCGTGTATTACGTTTAAAAGGCCAGCTGGTGCACCGGCTTTCGTGAAGAGATCAGCGAGAATCATGGACGCACCTGGTACTCGCTCCGATGGTTTCAGGATAGCAGCGTTTCCACATGCGACCGATATCGGAAACGACCAAAGCGGTATCATGGCGGGGAAGTTGAAGGGACAAATGGATGCGGTAGTACCGAGAGGAACTTTGTACGAAATGATGTCCATGTCCGTGGCGATATTGGTCGTGGATTCGCCCATTTGAAGCATCGGGATCGACGTGCACATATCGACAACCTCTGTCGCCATAGTTAAGAGTCAATCGATATCCACTTCAATATATTATTTATTAAAAAAAATACTAATTTTTAATTCCAAATATTACGATATTATATTTTGCAATTTTGATCGATTTTTTGAAATTAAAGTAAAATATTTTTATGCATATTAAATTTATTTCTTTTTTTTGCATTTTTTTTCAATACTTTTTTGTTCTGCAATTTCAATCGATTTGCAAACGATTGTTGAATAATGAACGTATTAAATAACTAATTATCAATATTAGAATGTTATCCGACATAATTCACATAAGAATCTAGTATGGTTCACTTACGAAGACCTCGAAGTACATCTCCCTCCGCGTCAGCCATAGTTTTTCCATTTTCCTTCACCAGATTTTTCGCAATTTCTTTCTATGGACAGAAATGAATATACATGTAAAAAAATAAAATAAGATTAAATAAATAAAAAGTGAAGATAACGAAAATTAAGTAACAGCTTAAAATATCTGCCGCGATGTCCAGAACATTAATGGCGAAAGTTCAAATGACCGATATCTGTTCACTATCGGTCATTACTATTGTCGCCGCTTTATCAAATTTTTTCACTTCACCGCGCTCGTTATCATCCTTAATCCAAATATATAATACGCTTCTCTCTTCGACTTTCCCAATATAATATCGGTTTATTTAAATAGATTAGTTAATTAGAACTTAGAATGCGTTAATAAACTGACAGAGTGTTCACGGATGAGAGCCTGGTATTTCAGCATCAAATTTTGTCTCGTTAGCACGCTGGTGTGTCGCCACTTCTCATATGCCTTTTGAGCGCTCTGTACCGCACTCTCCATTTCGTCCCTCGTGCATTTTGGAGTGCGGCATAGCAATTGATTTGTTGCTGGATCGTGAACATCCGTAAACTCAGTGGCCTTCGAGTCTGCAAAAGGAATTTTAATTTATAAATTGAAATAATTTAAACGTAAACTATCGTCGAAACAATTTAAAATACTAATGTGCATTTATTATTAATCCAATAAAAATAATGTTATTTAAATTAAAAAAGAAGGAAGATATAATTAATCTAAAATTATTTATAGCGATATACAATCAATATCTATGTTTTATAAGTAACTATGCAATTTATAAATGGATATGTCACAAATCATTACAAACAAAATGATATTTGTATTATAATACAAAACATTTTTTTAAAAGTATATGTAAACATTTTTAATCTTTTCTTGCTTTTTTTTTAAATAAATGTTCTTTGCAATATAATTTCTTAATAATGTTTATATTGTATTTTATTCTGGATATTAAAAAAAATAAGTTGACGTCATTGATGATTAAAATTCATGGAAAAAAGATTTTACAATATTTTGTAATAAAAAGCATGTGAAGAAAATGGTTTGCTGTAATTTTTCTAATAACACAGAATAAGGAACGCTTTTTACGCGGAAAAATTTCTTTCGTATATATGACATAAATTAAAAAAATATAAAAAAATAAAGAAATTTATAAAATGAATAAAGAATAAAGTGTTTATAATAATAATATATATTACAATAATTACCTACGAATTGTCCATCGATGAACATTTTGACCATTGGGGCAGCATTACTGTAAGATCTGGTAGCAAACCGTGTCTGGAATATTTTAATATTAACTACTAACTGGCATAAAAATATTATACTGAATATTTTTATTAAATAATCTTTTAATGATATTTAGAAATTAATATAAGAATATTAATATTGAATCAAACTATTTCAATCAAAAACTTGTTTATTAATTTCTATACACAATTGTAATTAATATTATTATATCTTTATTAAATATATAGTGTATTATACATAAAAGCTCTAATAAAGTATTATTTTTTTAAAAATAATTATTTTTATTTAAAATATTAATTTTTATTTTTCTGACTTACACACACACACACACACACACACACACACACACACACACACACACACACACACACACACACATAATTTAATTAAGTAAATATTATTTATTTTAATATCATTCATTTAATTTATAAATATGAAACATTTTTTTCTAGAATTTTAAGTTTAGATTACATGGTCATAGAATCCATATGCATCAATAAGTATACATCAGTAAAACTGTGTCATTCAAGATATTTGAATATTTTTAAATATTAAGAGAATTTACATAAAGTTTTAAGAGACAAAAGGCATGACAATTCGCTTTAACCGAGCGATGGGGAGAGGGAACTATTTTATCGTTCATATTACTTGAAGTTAAGCTCTTATCGCGACAGAAGATAGTAACGTTATTTTCCTCTTGCGGACGTCATAGTCATCTAAAGATCAATTGATGTCAGACGATAGTTACTTCGTAACTTTTAACGCGTGCATTGATACATCTCAGATGTTTATAAGGTAATATAATAAATCAAAATAATTAAATTTTTAAACTAATTCTAACAATATATCTAATTTTAATTGGAAAATTTGTTTTGTTCAAATTATACACGTGTCAAATGTAACAAATTTAAGATAAACAACAGAATATTTATTCTCTCGGAAACAAAAAGAAATTATAATCGTTAAAAAATTAAATTAAAATATTTAAAGTTATTTGTTTATACTAATTATTAGGATTATTACTTTTAGAACAATACGTTTTATATATATTAATGTTTTATATAATATATTATTATTAATATTATACATAATATTATATAATATTATATATGTATATTTTGTAGTAATTTGTATTCTGTAACAAATTTGAACATGTTTTTCTGAGTTATCGAATTACATATCTTACATATCTTAATTATTATGGTCATAAATCTTAATTAGTCATAAATCTTAAAAGATTAAGAGAAAAATAATAATTTTCTATTAAAATTGATTTTCAAAAATTGATTTTCAAAAGTTTTAACACGAGCATGCATAAACGCGTTACGACATCGCTTATGACGTATCATTAATAAATTAGCATTTGAAATAAAGAACAAATTCATTTCTTATTCTAAAATCGCAAGCATAATATAAACCAAGGTATTTTCTTAATAATAAATTCTTAGTAAGTAAACCAACAATCTGCATTTCTCCGGATTTTATTAATTAATAATTAAACACATCACATAAAACATAAAGATGTAACCTAAGTGAGTAAAAAGATATAATTATTAGTACAACGGAACAAAGTAGAGAACAGTAAATAAAGACAAATATCACTCCACAATTCTTTTGAATATTTATGACAGTCTAATGAAAGCACATGACATTTGTAGTTGCAAATACAGAAAGCAGTCGTTTAGATTTACAGGCACACTAAAAAAAATTGTCGGAGCATGATATGCATGAAACAGTTTTCACATTGATTTTCGCGCTAACGTGCAGTTTTCGCAATTCGTCGGATATCCACTAGATGGTTCAGGTTCCTGCACTAATAGGTTCAAATGCAGTCTGCAGCTGCAACTGCAGTGCAATGAGTTTTCGAAAAATTGCGATATGCAAAATGACAAGCGGCATACCGGGCGCGACGATGACGTATATCTTCATACCTCACACTTGGCAATTCTCGCGAGCAGCACCATGACTTCAGTTAACACGTTCGACAGAGCAGCTTGTGTGGAACTGAATGATTCGTGTCGAAAAAAATGACTTTGCATTTAACGCAGTACACGATGCTTTTTGCTAAGATAGTACATGTTTGTTTAGAATGCCTTCTGCAATCGATGTCTCTGCAGCGAGGAGTCGAATCTAACGACTCGAATCGTATAAAGAAGAAAAGATGGTCGAGAGCTATCGACAAACATCTCGATTGATAAATAGTTTATAATACAAAGACTTACTCTGGTCGAGTTTTATTTAATAAGAGAACGGCGATGAAGAGTTCAAAAGTTGGTTTTTTTTTTATTCTATAAATCTTAATTATATAAATATAATAAATATTAAATTGCCATTATGTTTCTGTTTTAAAATATATTTGAAAATGTGTAATTTAATATATAAAATTTAATGTGTAAATTTTATATACTAATTTTAATTTTATTAATTAATTAAAA